AGAAAGAAAGAAAGAAAGAAAGAAAGAAAGAAAGAAAGAAAGAAAGAGGAAAGGAAAGAAAGAAAGGAAAGAAAAAAGAAAAAGAAAGAAAGAGAAAAGAGAGAGAGAAAAGAGAAAAGAAAGGAGGGAGGAAGGGAGAGAGAGAGAGAGGGAAGGAAGGAAGGAAGGAAGGAAGGAAGGAAAGAAAGAAAGAAAGGGAGAAAAGAGAGAAAAGAAAGAAGGGAGGGAGGAAGGGAGTGGGGGGGAGAGAGAGAGAGAAGGAAGGAAGGAAGGAAGGAAGGAAGGAAGGAAGGAAAGAGAATGAATGTTCCTAAGTTAAACCCCTCACCACTTTCACACTTAAAAAAGATTTGCAGACCAGAGTCCGAAACTGGGACACACAATCCTTTGCAGGCCAAGAGTCCAATGTCTGGCTAATTGATGCCTCCAATTTAAAAGAAGCCTGCATGAGTCGAAACGACCTTCAGCAGAATCAATTGTGATCCGCAGGCACCAAGGCGCCTTTGGCCTTAGTATCTTGCTTAGTCAGAGGCCTTAAGAGAAATGGAAAATCATTCTGACTCCCCTTCAGAAAAAAAGAGCTGCTAGCAAATCCAGGGCTTCACTCACTCAGCAAATGCCATGAAAATGGAAGGGATTATTAGCAAAAGTCAAACACACCTGCGCTTTGCATTCCAACATCCAGAGTTGGCTTCTTGCTCCAGAAGTGTCCTGGTTTGGTATTTGGTCACTGGATTAAAGTCCCAGCCAAGCCCTAAGTGCCTGCCAGGTTAGAGAAAGTTGGCTCAGGGGTCCCCTACAACCCAGAAGACATTCTCCCCACCCCACAACAAAAAAGCTGCATAACGAGATTTCCTGGATGATTCATTTACAGAATTTATGATTCCTCTTCATTGTAAACCAATGAGTCAAGCAAGGAGATTTACTCACTGTTATCAGTCATGATAGCTAAATAGGAATGTCTGTTTCTTGGAAGCCTTATATTAATATCTATTGTTGAGTGGGACTGCCACAGGTATTTTTTGGTGTGTGTGTGTGGGAGGGTTACCTGAAACCCCTGACGAAGAAAAGGCGCTGCGTCTGAGAGATGCTGGGTATCGTTAGCTCGCTTCCCATTTTGGAAAAGACTTTAAATAAGTAGTTCTTAATCTTTTCTTCCCCATAATGTTGTGGTTAGCCGGCAGCAGATGTGGACGGCTGAGGAGAGCGAGGACTCAAAGGAGAGGCCAGGACCATTGGGGAGTATTTGCCTTCAGAGAATATGGGGGCTGGCAGCAGTAATGAGGAGGTTCCCGAGAAGCCTGTGCCAAGTGCGCATGCGTACAAGATCGCTCGCAGGAAAGAACAGCTACAACACCCCGGGCGACTCGGGAGTAAGGCTGCAAGGTAATGGCCCCTCCTTCAAGAAGATAAAAGCCAGCTGTGAAACTTTGCAGAAGGCAAAGACGTTTTGAAACTCCAGCCTCGTGGGCATTCCAGTATCCCGAGTTTG